ATTTTAAAAAATTTATTTTTTATTTTATTTTTTATTAAATTATTTAATTAAATAAAAATATTATCCTTTCCACTCCTTCACTTTTATCCAAATAAAACTAATATCAACATTTTCATTCCCTTCACTTCTCCTCCCTTTCCTTCCCCTTCCCTCCCCTCCCTTTCCTTTACTAACTTTTATCCAAACAAAGGCTTAGAGATTAAGATAGATGGTTCATCGATCATAAAAAATTAGGAATTTCAACTTTTTTAAATTGGGTTTTGTTTTTTTTTTTTAAATTATTTTTATGTATTGTTTGATACTTTTTTGTTCATAACTATGCTTTTAGGTTATTATTTTTACTATGAACTAATTTATTCTACTAGACCTATGATATAGTCTAATCAATTTAATATAAATTTTGTGATTTTTATATTTTCAATTAAAATTATTCACATAATGAATTTATGGTATTAAACTTATTACATTGAAAGCTTGATCACTTTTAAATTGATTTAGTGATTTATGTGCATGAACCTTGATAAAAAAATTGCGTAAAAGAGACCAATAATAATATAAACCGTGCGTTAGATTATAAATCGAGACGTAATTAGTATCACATATGATAGTGGAGGAAAAGAAGAGAAGAGAATTATTAGCTCCTCCTTCTTAAATTAGAGGTTTTCATAAAATTTAATACTGATCAATTTGTTTTAAATTATATAAAAATATGATTAATTTGACAAATAGGGGAATGATTAACTTAACTTGAGAAAGTTAATTAATTTAGAAAAATCCGTTATCACATGTAATAATACTCAACAAATTGTTTTGAAAGCATATTAATTTAAAATTTATATTGATTAATTATGGTGAAGTCGATGTCTTAGTACCATATATCTTAGTTTTATTTTAATTGTTGGTTTCTTTTTATTTTTAATTGTTTAAAAATAATTTAGATTAATTATTTTGGTATTTAATTAACCAAAATCTTCATAGGTTCAACACTTTTCTCATCATTATATTATTTAAAGTGACTGGTACATTTATTAGAGTAATTTTAGTGCATCGATGAGCACCCCGACGAGTTTACCAATCAAGTTTACTAGTACTTGCATTTGCTCGGCCACCTTCCTTCACTATGTTCCTCTTTCTTAGAATTAATCAAAATGCACTTTACTAGCACTCGTATTTAAAGAGATGGAGTTGTTCCAACTTCATATATTTATTTATCTAGCTAGGTTCCGTATTTTTTTAAAGAATGGGGGGCAATGGAACTCGTTTTGCATGAAGGTGCTCAACTCTACTACTCTTTTTCGTTTGTGAGTGATTATTGACAAAATTTCTTGCAAAATTTATTCAATTAAACAGTGTATGATATTTGAAAATTTTTGGGTCTTGAGGGGATGAGGTTGGAAAGAGTAGTCTTCTTTTGCTTTGCACGCCACCTATTCAATAGATTGCCCCAATGGAGTTATTATGTTTTGTCCATATGATTTTGTTAAAGTTTTACTCATGGTTATTTTAGAGGCAATTTATTCATTATAATCGGGGTGTAATGGGTAAAAAGTTTAGTTGAAAATGAATTTTAATTTTTATTTAAAAATTAAATTTCATATTCATGATATTATAATTAATTCAAATAATATATTTTAAAATATATATAATTAAATTACATGTATTTAAAATACAAGTATTTAAAATACACACTTTAAATTCAAATACAAATTACCAAACACAACCCAATAAGTTTGTTTGGTAATGGTATTGAAATTGAAAACCAAAAAAACCGATATACTGAAAAGTTTGGATGGTTTGGTATGCTGAACCAACCAATGACCAGGCCTACTTTAAACTTATCCTTAAGATTGTATAATTGCTAACTCCTGAGAGTTTATATTTATATTGCTTTTCTATTACTTCACTTCACCGAAATATTCTTGCAATAGAGTATTAGATCCGAGATAGAATATATTAACTTATTCAGAATGCTGTTAAGTATCATGCATTTATTCTATGTACATGATTTTACAAATCTTATGATATGCCAGTAACTTAATATGATGCCTGAATACTCTTTTGCAGAAAGGTGGGAAGGCACGAGGGATTCAAGGTGTGCAGGTCGAACGTCCTCCTGAGTGTAAGCAGCAGTAACCTTGTGGTTGCATGCAGCACTATTTGGAGGCATCAATTATATTGTCAAAGGTGTCCTAGTTGCTGTATAAGTTTTGAGTGATGTGCATTCTTCCATTGTGATTACCATACTCTTTGGATAATATTTCTTCTATAATTCTATTATATGGTTATTTATTGCTATGCTAATCTTTTGAAGTGGAACAATGAACATATGGAATGTTGCGAGAATAAACACTGACTTAATATATATGGTAATATGGAACATGTTAAGTTCTAGTTGCCAGTGTCTCCAAGGCTGTGTTTGGCTGTTTGAGCACGTCAAAACACTTTGCTCCAGATTGTTGCTGCCTGGCTGCCTAGGGATACTGCTCTACCCAAACATTACTGATATCACTTGGATGGGATTCTGCCCTTGGGCAAAAGAATGTGGAAGGAAAACTTCCTGACAGTCGGGATGTTATTTCAGCAGAATCTGGGATCTACAGAGGCAGCAACAATTTGGGACGTAACTTTCGGGGTACAGAGCAACCAAACAGGCCCTTAATTCTTGATTTTGGGGTCAAGGTAAAGAGTTCAAGCCATTGTTAATAACCGAGCAGATTTTATATGAGGTTCCCTTGGTGAAGGAAGGATTTGTTTATCAAATGATTTTACCAACTCTACTAGTTCCAGCAAAAAAGTTTTGAATTAATTTAAGAAGTGTGTATGCAATCACAGTACCAACCAATTGGGTTTCAATACTTCAAACTACTTGGTTTAATATGAATATTAACTCTTATATATATTATATGAATTTTCAGTAACAATAGCCTTCAAATTCCACTAACATTGTTGAAAACTAGTTGGGAAGAACTTCGATTCCCTGCTCTTTCAAAACAGTTTCAATTGATTCTGGCTTTCTTCATGCTCCAAGCATCCAACTTCTCCATCATCACTGGCTCAGTTCCATTATTGAAAGCATACAAATAGGCTCCATCATCAATTGCTAAAGTAGGATAAACTCTTGCTGTGATGCAAGCTTTGCCTCCTCCACCAAAGCTCTCCACTATAGAGTGATCAATCTGTAAATGGAGGATGTGAATTGCATAAGCCTAATAGCTCAAAACAATGAAACAAGAAGTGAAATTCGTCCCTTGTGCCTATAAACAAAGTGAGTTGCAAGTACCAATAGGACTAGTCAAGTACTCCTGTTATAAAAGAACAAAAATGAACTCTGTCCAAATCCATAATCTTAAATTTAGTGGAACGAGCAACCTTGTCCTTAAGTTGTGAAGAACTATCTTTGCAGCTAATCTTTATATGAAAACATACCGGTTTGTCGAGTGCGGAAATTCTTTATTGGGAATAGTCAAAGCATATTGTTTTCTAAGACATGTCGTTTTAAAAAAAGTCCAAGTCAAAAAGTTGAGTTGGTTAACTCTAATTGTCTAACAGCTTGTTTTTTTTTCTTCCAGGGACAACTTACCAAGCTCCTTAGAGACAACTTTTGATGAACAGGGTCTACATCCACAAAAGCTCCATATGTCGTGAGGTCATTGCTCTTGTCTAGTGAAGACCTGCATGTAAATAAAGAAAATTTAAACAAGACTTCAAAATTATGTATTTACATATTTATGTATTTATATTTGTTTGTGCATGCATGTGCGTATGAAAGAGTTGAGCTGAGAAAATTAAGAGAAAGAGAATGCAAGGAAACTAAGACCTGCTTTGGTCACTGCACATGAGCACCACATATTTGTCATTGGCTTTGAAAATTCTAAAGAAGACTGCTGTGTATTCCTTCAAGCCCTTTGAAGACAAAACCAGCAACCCAAATGGACCCAGATTACCTTTCACTGATGCACCCTTTTGATTGCACAGCTCTTGTGGATTTGTCCACTTGGGGTCGATCACTTCAGCTTTCTCAAACTCAGTTATGCCGAAGGAAATATCAACATCTGCCTGAAAGAGACAAAGAAGCAAACATTTTAATATCCCAAAAGCTAAAGGGAATTTATACCTGCTTAATGTAGTGGGGAAGGAGGGACAAGTCAAATGGCTATATCAATGAGACAGATGTATGGCAATCATAAAATCCTTTAATTTGCACTCATAAAATTTTGATCTGGATTGAGAAAAACTCAACCTGAGATGCTGTGACACCAGAAACTTGAAGAACTGATCCTCCCTTGAGCAATTTGCTTGGGAAGGTTACTTGGTTTGCACGTAGCTTTTCTATCTCTTGCACCGGCCATTGTACCAGTTGTTTTCCAGATCGATCTAACCAAATTTTCCTTGGAACAGCCTGCAAAATGAGACCAAAATGTGGGGTTTGAATCCAATTTGCTCAAAGGGTTAGATGACTTTAGAATTAAACATACATGCATTAAAGTCAATGAATTAATTAAATAATTTGGTGATAATCTCCTATCAATAAAATAACAAATCTTGACTTTGAGTCATAGTATATGGGTAGGTGTGGGTTTAGGGATGAAAAAAAGTTGTCTCCTATTATCTAACTTAATATAAAAAAAAAGTATACATGCATTAATTATTTAATTAATTAATCTATATATAACTTGTTTTGTATGGTACTTCAATTACATAAGATTGGACTTTTGCTGGAGTATTTTGATTTTGGAATGTGAAAATTAAATTACTAAGATGATGATTAAAGAACAAATTAAATTGGATGGACTCATTTTCTAGAAGACATAAATCAAGTTTGAATCTTATGATTGAGAAAAGGAAAATTACCTGAACCCCAGACCATCCCTTCTTAACGTCAGCAGACACACTAGATGATTCATTGATCCAACCCCACAAAATTCGTCGGTTTTGTGCAGTATCAAAAAAGGTCTTGGAAGCATAGAATTTGCCATAATCATATCTTAAACCTGAATCACTATTCAAAGACCCCTGGTCAGGAACATAGATATCCTTGGCAAGGTCATATGTCCCAATAGTGTAGTATTCATGCTTGGTGTCATCCAGGCTGACCTTAAGCACATGTTTAAGGTCTGAACCCAAAGCAGAGGTATCAAGCCCATAAGAGGACTTAGTTGAAACAGGGAAAAAATCAGGGCACTCCCACATCCCATTGTCATTGGCAGAATGCAAAGGCTGGGGTGACTGGACCCAATTAACAAAATCCTTGCTTTTGAATAGAATTGCCTTCCCTTGGCGATCGATTTTGCTTCCAATAATCACCCTCCAATGCCCATCAGGGCCTAACCAAGCTGTTGTGGGATCTCTAAATGAGCTTGAATTGATTTGGTTTAGGGAATTTGGTGCCATTAAAGGGTTTTTTGGTGTCTTTACCCACACTCTAAGGTAGGGGTCAGACAGATTTTTGGGCACAGCAAGGTTTTGAACTTGTCTGTTTTTCGGGTCAATGCCAGTGTACAGAATGGCCGGTTTGCCACCGGGGAGGATGGTGGTTGAACCTGACCAGGTACCGTTCATGTCAGACTGCTGGGAGGGGTAAATGGCTGGATCATGGGGGATCCAGTTCACCAGATCAGTTGACGTAGAATGAGCCCATACAATGTGACCCCATACTACATCTTGTGGGTTGTATTGGTAGAATAAGTGGTAAATTCCCTTGTATATCAGTGGTCCTGCATTAAAATGTCACACATTTAGGCATTTCTGTTACCAAACAAAGCAAAACTATACTCAGAAAAAAGAAAAAACAAGTGAAGAGAAAGGAAAACAAAGGCATTAGTTGGATCTAAGAGTACTAAATTTTCAATTTGGACTCAAAGTTACCCTTGATAATTATTAGGCATATGCCCAAAATTATTAAGGATATTTTTGTCCTTTCATACTTAACATAGTATTAAATTTAATCCGCCAGAACTAGGAAATAGTTTTATGTAAGGTCTAAAATGAAGACAGGAGAAATAGAGAAAGGAAAAAGAGCTCACCATTGGGATCTGTTCAATGATCCAAGCAGAACCCCATTTGTCCATTCCAGAGGAAGAACAAGAAACCAAAACAAAAACAGTTAGAGACATGAAGAACAGAAGAACTATATATAATAAAGCAAAAAAGGAAAAAAAAAAAGAAAAAGAAAAGAAAGAAATGGAGTTCGGTGACAAAGAAAAATACCGTTCATCCAATTCTTGGGAGGCTGGAAATGAAAGCCAGTTCTGTAAGGTTGATTGGCAGAAGCTGGTGTGGTGGATTCATCAAGAGTTTGAAGGTTTGGGTAAACATGATGCGAGGCTTCAAGCTTGAGGATTCCATGGGTGAGTAAGAAAGAAAGGAATGAAATGATGAAGAAATTAAAAGAGAAGGCCATGTTTTGGGTTCTGGTTGAGAGTTGAGAAAATAAGGGTGCAGAAGGTAATGTATTTATAGGAAAATCGAGGACTAAAGGAGGAAGCAACTTGGAAATTTATGTGTTGTAACCATGAAAAGTCAATTGTCAGATTGTTCATGTGTGATTGAGAATTAAAGATGGTTGTTTGTACTC